AGAACCCCGCACCTGAGTAACATCTTCGGCGATGTTGAGGCCCTCAGTCTCCGGCAACTCGTCGAGAAACACCGCTTTACATGCAATCCCACAGCAAATACCGCGAAATTTTCGGCTGACGCTACCTTTGCGGCGATTGTTATAGAGTCGCGGGGCTTTCCGGACAGAATACAGCAGCGCTTGGCGACGCGAAACTCCGGCGAGAATAGGTCCGATTTGTTGGCCGCGCAGACGAAGGTCAAGGGCTTGCTCAGAAAATTTGATTTTTTTTCTTGGGCTAGGGTTCGAACAATGGCAGATAATGAGTAATCGATTTTAACTGGTATGGTAGCAATTTGTGTAACATGGAGGGGCAAAATCGTACGAATCTTTTTTAATGAGGGTAAATTGGACTTTTATGAACTCAGGATTGGCCTAATCCCACCAAAAATTGGGGATGGATTAATCCCACTATAATGGGATAAAAGCAATTTTAATCCCGGGCCAAGAAATTTGTCCAGGGCCGAATCCTAACAACCAAACATGGGATTAAAGCAGGATAAGGCGGGATATCCTGCCTTATCCTGGAAAGCAAACAGGGGCTTAAGGTATATCAACTTTGTTTTTTATGACATGTAGTTATGTAATTAGTAATATGAAATAATATACATTTAGAATTGTAACATTTATATTATAATACTTCATACTTAATGTTGTATGTTGTGAAACTAATGATAGTACTTTCCCCACATTTTTATTTGTTCCACATACTATTCTGGAATATATTTTAATGCAATACAATCTTATTGAAATAGTTTGCATCTCTTTAATAAATTCTTCCGTTATTGATAAGTTAATATTTTGTTTATCAATTTAAATCTATTTTGCTTAGGTTTTATTTTTGAAAGAGTTTGTTTTAGTTAAAATCCTATTATATTGAGATATTTAATTGTGATTACAATTTACTGATAAAATAATTTGAGAAAACACAAGATCAGTTTACAAGCAAAACACATCAGTATTAACATTATTAAAAGTTTCTTTTTTTTTTTTTTGGTCTGGAAAAGGAGGCCGTAGCCTAATATCCGCTAGATGGTAATTGTACGTGGGTAAGCGACGCCTACGACATCATGCAGGAGCCACGGTTGTACCTCTAAAGGCGGTTCCAAAAGACACACTGTTAAAAGTTTCTTTCATAACATTTGGAAAGGCACACTGCTAATATTTTTCCAGCAAGCACACACCACGTAGCCACTAAGAAACTAGACAACAAAAAGATTAAAAAAAAATAATAAAAAAAAAATCGCGCTGAAATGTACAAACCTTAGAATTCGATTTAAATCTTACACTATATAACATCAAACCCACACATACTCTACATTCCTGCACACTAAACTTCTTCACATTGGGCTACCCCACAGAAAAACTTAGCCATCACTCACTTCAAAAGTTTTCAGGAACAATATCCGGAAGTGATGGGGAAGACCCGCCACTGACTTTACTCGGCAAAGGTGTATTCCTTCTCGACTGTCTTTTCGTGGGGACAATCACGCTTTCATCGTCTAATTTTCCGTTGAGACTTTCATCCTCCTCATCCTCCTCGTCTTTGAAAACCGGGTGAATGTAAGCAGACTGGAGATAGGATTTCAGGTTCAGGTTCGGTTCCCTTGCGCGCTCCAGGGTGTCTTTCATCATTGCTTCCTGAAATGAAAATGTTTTTAAAATGTGACTCTTATTGCAGTTAATTACAAAAACTATCCCAAAGGAAATGGAGATAGAGAAGAGGAATTTATATTTCTGAATGAAAATGAAACTTCCAATCTATGGATTGGGAATTGCAACGAACCTGTAGAGGGTATCTAACGAAAGCTGGTTCGAAACGGCCTTTGCAGTACCTATGGAAAAAGAAGGTCAACACAATGAGCACAAGGAGGAGGGGTGGAGCCTGAAAGATCCCTTTAGTGCCCATCAATCCGAGAAGAACTAGCTGCGAGAACATAAGGGCAACAATTATGCGCCCATGTACATCTGGCCAAAATGCCGCAGCACTTTCATACTCTTGGTTGTATACGTTAATGATCTGCATCGGTTAAAAAAAAGGGGGAAATCGTCTCAGCAGTGTGCATTTGCTCCAGCAGATTATATGAAATGTCAAATTAATGATGCCCGGTCGTTCAATAGTGATAACAAATACATATTTTTTTTCAACTTACATTTCTGAACTTGTAACAAATATCAGCGATACAACTAAAAATCGAAAATAAGGTCTTTCTTATTTTTTCATCTACACTGCGTGTTTGAATTCAAGGATATTTTCCATAACTAAGCCAAACAAATGTGTGTGTGTGTGTGTGTGTGTGAGAGAGAGAGAGA